TGTGATAAGAATGAATTCTTTTCTTTCATCATCAGTAGACCATTCCAGTCAATTCTATGCTTCTTCAATCTAGTTATCTAAGTAAAAAAGAAAACGAATAAAGAACCTATTGACCTACTAGTGTAGTTAATTTTATACTTGGTGGCACTAGTGTTTACATAATTTTAAAAAAAGTGTGAATAAAGTGGATCAGATCCATTTCAAAATATTAATTGCAAAGATTACTTGGTATAGCTAGTAGTTTGCTCCATACTTCTTATGGAAGTGACAATAGTGAAAGGACAAGGTTTTAGGTTTGAAGAAGTGAGACCTAATTTTTAAGCAAGCCATTTATCAATCATAATTGGCTAAGCTCCAAAATCTAGCATAACGTGCAAAGATGTAGCACAAGTGGTATTGCTACTAGTATAGGTAACAATCAATATATTATTGTTATTAACTAATTATATAATTCTTCGACGTAAATTTTAATATTTTTCAACAGCTATAGATGCAACATTAGATAAAAATGCTATCTCTATAGCCAATGGCATTTTACTTGAAGGATTTACATTTGTAACCTTCAAGTGGCATTCATCAAAATGAAAAAAACTCCAATTACAAGTTTTGCTTGTAATTTAGTTAAATCTTCTTATATTGAAGGCTTTTTTACTACTTAAGCATCTCCTAATGATAGCATAGAGACTTTGTCTTTTAATATTTTATCAGCCAATTGAAATATCCATGGTGGTTTAAATTTTGAAGCCAATAAGTCAACACTGGAAAATATAGGCATATTCAATACCTTATAAGCCAAAGTATGTACTAAATTTTTAATACTAATATCTTCATCTTGTGTTAAAGTCAAAATAGAAGGTTTGGCTCCAAAATTAATATCTACAAGGCCAAAAGATAAAAGCAATTGCACAAGAATATTAAGATCTCTAAAATTGGTTGGACGGCTAGACAAAGGTTCTAATGCCTCACTTATTGTAGGTGCCATATTCCTAGTTGTTGTTTAGGCACATGTTGCAATTGCAACCATCATTTGTTTTGATGCACAAAATATATAATTTTTTGGTAGAAGAAGAACTTTTTTCAAATCTACATTCTACATGAAATCTAATAACTTGGCCTAATGAAGCCATACTATTGAATCTCTTCTCTAGCTCAGAAATTTTAGCTTTCAAGGCCTTTTTTCTTTTATCCAAAGCAAGTTATTTGTGTAAATAGAATATGAAGCAATTATCTTCATTATGGTTAAGCTTACTACAATGAGTATACTTCAATTCATTTTTCTTAGATTTATCTCTCACTTTAGCCATTTCAGCTTTTGGCTTAGACTTCTACATATATAAGGGTTTTTTCTTCTTAAAGCAATTGGCATCATTTTTTGTATAACCAGATTTACCACACTTCCAACAATTCATAGTCTTTTCAAGTTGAGTTTCTGTCAAGCTACTTTTGATAGTTGTCATCTTCTTAGACTTAGACACATCCATCATCCAAGTTACTATGTCAATAGCATCATATTGACAAAGAGCCTTATTATATTTTTCAACTTCAACAAATGTTTGTGCCAATATTGCCTTGCTACCATAGTTGAAAGTAATTCTTGGTATAGCTAAATCCAATAATCTCTTATCAATCTTAGATAAGAAAATCTTAACAAGTTGGCTCTCAACAAATACACCCCTTGATTCTACTACTAACAGAGCCAAATGAATATACATGGCACGTAAAGTATCATCTTTTTTATGATAGAAGTCTTGAATGCCTTACATTTGATTATGCTTAAAAACTCCATATTTGTACTTCAAATGCTTAATAAATATTTGAAGAAGTTCAAATGATGGTGGTTCTCTTCTTGCAAATAAACTTGCCTTCATTGCTTGAGCCGTATAAGACAAAGCAGTTGAAGTGGTAACTAAAGAAGTAATTACTCCTTTTCTTTTGGTATCTTTTGAAGATGTATCAACTTCTCCTTGGATTGAATCTTCTTCCTTCATTGTAGGCATTAAGCTTCAAATAACACCTCGTTAAGAGCTGAAATAAGTTCTATGTATGCCTCCTAATAACACTCCATTTCATGCAACTCAAGTAAGTGTTCTTCACTCTATTTTCCATAGGTTTGGAACTCCTCTTGCTTCAAGTATTGTAGTAAGAGCTCAAAGGCATACCATCCATTGAAAGTGGAGGTCCTCAATGTGGTCACTATCCACGTAGTCTGGTGAAGAAAATCAATAATATCCACTCCTAGTACACATCATAAAAGAACTACTTGGATACTTGCAACTATCTCAAGGCTAAAAAGGCAACCAATGCTTGCAATACCACCAAGCTTTGCAATTCACTAACAATCACCTCCAAATCACAATAGGTCCAACATATCCACAAAGAAAAGGATTTCACTGGCCATCAACCCAACCTCATCCTTATAGTATGCCTATCAACACAAATTAGTACAAACACAAAATGGGGTAACTATAGAAAACCTTCAAGATAATATCCACAACTAGAGGAAGGCACCAAAATGAAATCTAAAAATCCACACTAGATCTTCATCTCTAAGAAGAAATAAGCAGAAATCAAAGTAATCTAGAGCAACCAACATCCACCTACGATTGATGATTACAAATCAAAGAACATGTCACAATAAAAGATAATTGTAATAAAATAAAATGTGGACAAGTGAAAGAATATAAAAACTCGCTTAAAAAGCAATTGATATTTAGTAAATGCCATTTCAATGCTCTAAATGAGCTCCACTCTAAAAATTGGACATGCCAATGGACTCTTTGGGCCCCTTCTATATAAAATTGACTAAAAATAATCAAATTTGGACTCCATATGCACTTGGAGTAAACTTCCAAACTTGACATTTAAGAATTCTAGACAATGTGTGTTTTTAATACCTTATAACCGTGCAATGAGGTCTATGACCACAGACTTGTCACGGTGGTCCTATTACCATATGTACCCTGTCACCGTGGTCATATGACCATAGACTTATCACCGTGTATGTCCCTGTTACCGTGGTCCTATGACCATGGCTTGATGCCTTGATCTACAGAAGCACGCCGCCAACCACCGATTGTCGTTGTGATGTTTCTGTCAAAGTTTGTACCAAACCACTACGCTATACAACTCCCGCAATCTAAATCCTACGTGGCGATATTCTTGCGCCGCCTTGTAAGCCGAGCTAGTATCTCGTCCTCGCAACCCCCACAACGCAGCCTCGCCTCGCAAATTTGCACTCCCTGACCACAACCTGTGATTGTCTAGTGCCGCAACTCCAAGCTCCGATGATGTGCTCCACTACTGCCTCGCAGCACCACGACCTGAACTCAATAGTGCTATCCCTTGCTGCCTCGCAGCTCCAATGCCGCCTTGCGATGTTTTAATTCATAAAATCGAGTGCCGAAATTCTGTTGCCCACATTGTCGCTCCGTTCCTATAATCCAACACACCGCTTCGACTTCAGTTTCGAGACTGTGTAAAGTGGATCAGAATGGAACTTGTTCACATGACTTTTTGTAACACACATCTTGTGAGTCTCAGCCACACAGTGAAAATATTAGCAGAAATTGGAAAACCATAGGAGGTGCTTGATTGCGAATGGTTTCTGCGTTTCTGGAATGTCTAAATTTCTTTGTTTTCGGTTGGTCTCATCGGTTATTATTCCAGTCTCGCACACCAGAGGTCGGTTGTTTGATTCTGCGATTAGCCATTCAATTGCCGAACATTCATTTTGCGATTGTAGTCTATGGGTAAAGCATTTGTTTATGTTCTGTCTAGTTTTGGAGGATCCGTGAAAATAAGAACCGCATTCTCCACGTAGATTCGATTTTCTACGGAGATGGATAGTTGAGATTATATGTATTGAATGTTTATTTTCTACGCTGCGTAACCATCACTATTGTGAAATGCGTCAATAGCTGATCATTTTGCACTTAATTTGAGTAGCTTTGGTCGAGATGGACAAGAATGATGTAGCTGGTCGAGCCAGATAACTAATCTCTTGCCCTTTACGCAATCGGAAGGCTGGTAGGAGATTCATAGGAAAGATTCACTCAAGTATGAACGATATGAACAGACTAATCTACTAAATTAGCAAAATAGGCAAATATTGAATAGTATACCGCAAACCAATAGCATAAACTCAAGCTGGCGAGGGTGGATAATAGTGGAGGCGTAATGGAGTTTAGAATGGAGAAAGAACAACACGTAGAATTAACACAAGTTGGTGGCACATCAGACTATTGGATGTAGAATAAACATGCAACTTTGGAACTCATTTGGCTTCCAGTTTTGGGCAAGGTAGACAAAAGTGAGTGTTGTACATTCGGCCAATACACTTCAAACATGTGGGCCACAATATTGCCAAACCTCATAGAAAAGACCTCAATTGAGGACAATGTGAGCTAAAATAAACCTCTACTGGTTTGAAGGTTATTTCAGTTCACAACAAGTAAATTAATTAAGTGAATTTTAGAAGTTATAGCTATTAATTAAATCCTAATAAATTCACTCTTAATTCTTCTTGAGTAACCAAGAAACCAAATCAAACTCTTCTAATAATTCACCCTTATAATAACAAGTCACTCAACACTCCATGCATTGAGAAATCTATCAAGTTATTTGTTTATTTTATTACCAATATGTTATATTATTATTTTTCTTAATTGATTTATTGATTTATTTTTTAAATTCATCCATCAATCGAATTCATCCTTGAATAATTTTTCATCCAAGTATGAGATTACATCTACTTAATTCCTTCAATTAAATTCATTCAATTTTATTTATTTATTATTATTTTTTATTTTTTTATTTTTTTAATTCAAACTTAATCTCAATGAAAAAATCTTGATACTCTTACCTAATTCTTGATGTTGTGGTTGGGCATCGGATTCCTACCTAATGAAGGTTGGATTTGAAAACAAAAACTTGAAGGCCTCTGTCCTCCCTACGTGTTGTCTCTCCACAGATCTAGTAGCGACAGTTGTTAACAAGATGTCTTCGGTGAAATTCAACCCCTCTGGTTGATGCCCAGGGTAGCCTCCTCTTCACAACCACGATTCACGTTGGAACAAGACGAAAGGAACGACCAAGGTCCTCTGAACTTCAGTCAATTACATCGGCACACTTGCTCAGCTGCGCCGCACAAGAAAAAATGACAAGGAAGGCTGTCTGATAATAATTTAATTGCAACATCTATTGTTTATTCAATCTGCGTTCCTTAGCCCTATTTTTACATGGAATAAAATCTTCAAGTCCTTAGCTCCTCCGTCAAGAATGCTCTAAGTTGAAATAGATCCACACAAAGGTATTGAACAAAAAATAATTTTCACAGTTTGAATGCTGAGGCTCAAGCCACGACTGTCTTGTGACATTATCTCTTCACAAATTATCCAGCTCAACTTGATGCCCTTTTGCTCATCTTCAGTTTCCCTAAATTGATTGAAAATTCTTGATGATACTCATTTGACCAAGCTCATCACTAGCACTTCAATGAGAACAAGAGTGCAAAGACGAAACTAAAAACCACCAAGTCGAGGACGTCAAAGATTGTTTTGCTCCATTGAACTTCCCCTGCGTGGCAGGAATCTTCTAGCGTAGATGAGGCTCCTACTGAGTCAAGCTAGAAAGAATCACTCTTTTAGGTGGACCACCTGGGAGGTTGCTAAAGAGTACCAGTAGTCGAGTAAGATTCGTCGTAAAAAATCCTCCGATTGTTATTTCTAGTGTGTTGCAAATCTGATCATCTGCTCCAACCCTTCTCGGTTGTGCATCCAAAGCCAGCCTAGTAATGCCTTCAACTTGTTTAGATTTACCACCTTGTCATCTTGGTCCTTCTGTCCAATCGGCAAAACAACATCCCCGAATTATTGCAAATTGTGAAGGTTGAGAAATAGCGCCTCAAATATCGACCCAAGCTATTCCTATTATAATCAACAGCACTCTAATGCCGCAACAGATACACCACCTTTGGAGCTCCTTCCGAACATACAAATCAAAAAAATAGAAGTGCTGCACCGCAGCACTCTAACGGAATGGAAAAAGCAAAACAGAAACCAACTCTTGTGGGTCAACAAGTGCCAAGGAAGAAAGGTTCTTTTGATCATGCAGCAACTTGCTACTTCACCCAACTAGTCACAACTTCCGCATGAAATCTCAAGTTTTTCCAATACGAGCGTAGCCACGATTGCCACTACCACTTGAACACAAAACGGAAGGGGAGAAAGATCCACTAATTGTCAAAGACACTGCAAGTCACTCAACAGTACTGTAGTGCCGCACCGATGCGTATACTTAGACGACCGCGTTGGAATTTTTGACCACTTCCCACTATCTTAGTACTACCTTTTCGCTGACCTTGTCAAAGCCCAGTCCAGTCGCACGCCAAAACTTGGTCAAAATCGCACCAGTAACTCGTATTGTGTCCCGCGAGAAGAAGAACAATGCTTCTCTTCATAGAGGTAGTAGTCAATGCCAAAAAACCAAGAGCGCTTTGACCAAAGCTCAAGATCATTACACACAACTACCACCACTCACCTCTAGATTGTAGCGACTAGAAGATTGGAATCGATGTTCGCTGAAGGAACAAAAACCACTGAAAGAGAGTACAGAAAAACAAGCATGCCTTCTTGCTGCACTGCAATGACTCCAACAAGGCCACCAGTAACCTCCGCCGCCACCTGCTACATCAAACCAAGAGGAAGCACAAGAAAACAACTTCGTTGTCTGCACTACCATTAATGCCTTAGCAAAATAAAGAAAAAAAACGAAGCTGAGCCAAGCCTCCATCGCACACGCCAAAAAAATCACACACCGGAAGATGCTTCTCACAGTCAAAGCATCCACAATGCCTCAAAAAACCAAAAAAACAAGAGATCAAGAAGTGCAACATCGCAGCACTCCCACAATGTGAAGAAGATAGAAAAGAAACCGTTACAGAGCTCCCGGAGCACGTAAAAACGTCAAGAGGAAAATGAACAAAATTAAATTAGTGCTTTTAAACACAATAAGTACATTTTTTGTACTATAATACATTTGAGAGTCAATGCCATGATTCATCGACAACAAAGACATGAATCTTAAATTACTTTAAATAAAAAAAATCCAAATAAAGTAACATAGATTTAAGAAAGAGTGGATATTGAAGAAGTATCCACTATCAATTTAATATTTTTCAAATCGGAATTTCAGAAAGTTGAAGCACTGGTCAAACAAATATTGCTTGGCCTACTTAGATACCTTACTTTCTACTACTTACATTATCAACAACCAAAAAGTATATCAAAGATTAAAGAAGAACAAAATGGAGTAGTTCCAAATTTAATCAAGGAGTTGTCCTTGAAAATTATATAAAGATAATAAGGCATTGAGAGAACCTAAAATAATAAAAGAATTGATGGAAAGACTTAAGATTTTAGTTAAATTAAAGCCATTGAAGATAACTCTAGAACTAGATCAATTTCAAGAATATAAAATGAGGATGAAGAACCTTTCAAAATACATGGTATTGGAACACATTATAAGATACACACTGGGAGCTAAAAATTTAGTAATATGGGCTGGATCATCTTTATACATATACTTCTCTTAATTGACAATCTGCTCCAATAATTATTTTGATATTCAATTCTCTTAGGGAGAAAGATGGATTCACTTGCTGGCAGAACAAAGATATAGGTTAGATGACAATAAAATAACCTTTAATGTCTGGTCACCATATTTCAATTCAGATGTATCATTTAAAAAATTTAGCTTGAAAACTTGTGTCTAGGCATATATCAATGAATTACCACCTTTTTTAGGAATACACAATTTTTTAAGGATAATATTCTTGATATTTTCTAAAATATTATTTATAGATGATACTAATATATATGTCATTAGGCTATTGGAACTATGGATTCACATTCTTATAAAAGATATAAAGAAGCTATTCCAATCCATTCTTCTTTTTTGACTTGATGAAGAAAGTGAGATAGAATACTCACTAGAATATAGTTGATTACACTTGCAATGCAGTAGGTGTTGCTTATTTAAATATAAGATTCAATCTTTTCTAATCTTTAAATGCACAATTATGAAAAAATCCAAGAGAATAAGTGGGAAGGAAAAGATGGAAGAACCAATAGTGACCTTGAATCAGACTATCCATAGGACTAGCATCAACACATCACAAACAAATAAGCATTCTATAAAGAAGTATATAAGGCAGCCTAGTAAAGACCCACCGATCAGTCAATTCAATATGACGAGACACAGATTGGATGATATTCAAAGCTATAATACTTATACAATGAATGATAGATTCTCAATTACATTTGTACCAAAAAATATTTTGAGAGAAAAAGTAGCATTTTCTATAATTATTCTTACTTTTTACATACACTTCATAGTAACAATTGAGACGTTGATGACAACCAACAAATCTCTTTTTTCATTCTATCTTTTATAGGAAGGTGACAAGAAAACATGGACAATGAAAATATTACAAATATGTTTAGTGAATCAAATTATACTCTATTTCCATAAAAAAATCATCTTTAAGTAAAAACATACCAATCCAATCAAAAATTTGAAATACACATCCTAGTTCTATCATTAGATTCAACCTATTTTTTATAAGTATCTATGTATTATAGTAGCATTAGTCAAATACAATCCAAAAATTTGTACCATGAAAAGCATGAATGGATTTCAATAGAAAACACTCCCACCAAGTATATAAGATAATATATTATATTGAAATCAACTTTGAGTCCAAATATGAAAAGTAGAGAATAGACTCCTTATAATCTTTCTAAACTTGACTATACCAAGCCTTCTACATGAGAATAAAACTCATAACATTGCCACATTTGGTACTAAAGAATAGGATAGAGAATCCAAAACTCTAGAAATGGACATATTAGATGGATAGCTAATTGACTCTTGTATTGTACAATGTACATGGTCTTAATAAAGACTACACTAAAATAAGCTAATGATATGAGATAAGAAATTTTTTACAAAAATCTCAACCATGCTAGAACATCTTTTTGATCTAAAAATATAAGTTATTATTAGATGGAAGGGAGTAAATATGGGAATCAAATGGGTTTTAAAAACAAAACTTTTTTGTAAAATAAGGCAATTTATTGTACAAATCAGAATAGTTTTAAAGAAGGTATAACCATTCTAGTTTTGGAGAAGATAATTAATCTAATTAAAAAGCATGGAATTATTATAGAAGGTAGAGTGTAATTCATTACATTGCAATAGATCTCAAGAATAAAAATTAATATTATTAATATTTATTTTTTTAACTATATTAGCTTGTACACAAGATTATGGAATAAAATTTGGCAATATCAACTACTAAATGCTCACAAGATAATAGGCAGAGATTTCAACATGATCAAGTAAATGAAGGATAAACAGGGTGGACAATTGACAACATACTAAAAAATTAGAGAAATCATAGCATAGAAGGAATTGATGGTTTTTATAATATTGGCATATATTTTGGATCATGTGCTGATATTTATGAAAATCCAATTCAAACAAACATAGACTAAACACAACACCATATTCAATCAATATTTATCATCAAAAAAAGAAAAGTCCCTATTGCTAGCTGAATGGCAACACACAATGAGTGTACACTCTAATCAAACCTGAAATAAGAAATTTGTAGAGTATATAAAAACAATAAAAATTTATAGTAATAATAGAACTATTGTACATAAAGAAAAGAATAAAAAAAATAAAAATTACATTTCAATCCAATCTTTGAAGCAAAAATAGAACTACAAATGGATTGAAATAATGAATCACTCTAAGATAAATTGAATTTGATACAAAAAAATCTACACATACATATGCAAAAATTATTGGAAGCCTGATACAATTGAAAGATATTGAAATGGACAAACGTAGAAGATCGATGTATAAAAGAATTTTTTAAATATCATAATAGGAATAAAAAACTTATTCCAATTTGAGAGTTTATAGACAATAGTAAGGCACTAACAGACCTTGCTTCTATACAATGTTATATAAATGGATATTACAAACAACTTTACTTAAGAAAAATGAGGAAGAAAATAAAAATATAGCTAGAAAAAAGTACTTTTGTAGTATTTTGATAAAAGTAACTAAAGAAAAAGGTCTAAAATTTATAAGAATTTTCATTTGTCAAGAAGTTACAAAAGCTATCAAAGATTTGTCTTGTAGTAAAGTGGTAAGCATTAATGGTATTTAAATAGAATTTTTTAAAGAATACTAAGAATATTATAAAATAGATAGGATTTTTTTGTTTTACAATACCTAGTATGTAAGATTAAGAGAAGCTAATAAATTAATGAATGAATAGTTTAGAAGGCAAAATGGATATAGTCAAAAAAAATAATTATCATCAGTTCTGTAGTAGTTGGCATTTTGAAGAAAGCATAAGTAGGTTGAAGAAGAAGTAGAAAAGGCTAGACTGTAATAGTCATGAGCTAGGGTAAGCTTGGTACTACCTCTTTGTTCTTTGTTTTCTTTGTAGAAGAAGAATAATAGATAGTTTTTAAATAATAAGAAGTGAAATTTTGGAATAAAAGAAAGATTTGATATAGATGATGTCAAATGAGAAATAAAATTTATTGTGTGCTAAATTATAAGTAGAGGATTGGAATGTCAATAATGGAAGATATTTGTGAAGTATGAATATGACTGGGAGAATTATCATACATTGAATATTGAGATTCAAAAAGAAGTATGTAGAGTCTGGAATTATGTGAAGTAGTTTATTAGAAATGATAGTTAGTTTGGAGAATTTCAATGATTAGATTATAGAATATTTTATACAGTCTTTTAAAATAGTATAGTATTACTTATTATTGTCATAAGTTTAGAAAAGAAAGGAGATAGTGAATAAATAAGATAGAATTATTGATTGTAATATTTTCTTTGATAGAATGTGGAAGACATATAGCACTCTTAGGTGTTTTAGTTGATCAAGAGACAGTTAATTGTATGACCCTAATGAGAAAACTCATGTAGATAGTCTTTCTTTGTGTTTGAATCTTCTTATATAAGTTTGTTCTAATTAAATTAGTCTAGAGTAAGTAAAACGACAATCACATTTTAGTGCCACTGCCGAAGAATTGATAATAGTATTGAATGTTAGGAATTAATTGCCAAATGTGTAATTGTGGATGTTGCATGAAGAAGTTACAAAATTGATGATGGTTCAAAAGTGAAGCTATATGTATAGTTACATTGGAGATGAAAAGTAATTTGAGTATTATGATGAAAAACTATGATTAATAAGAATAAAAACATTGTATTAAGTGAAACGTTGTCATCTTCA